GCAGAGTGACTTCACATAAAGTGAAGATACGTGTGTTCGGTGAAACGTTGACGCTGCCACTGTAATCCACGCAGATGTTCAGCATCGGTTGTAGGTAGATCCACGCAGCCGACACCTGAACGATAAAGCAGAAGGGGCTTAGCATTTTGCTGGAGGCGCCTAGTGCGCTGCTGCCATGCACACTGGTCGCTGCTTGTGGTGTTGGTCTTCTTATAGCAGCAGGCTTGTCCACGTGATGAGATGTTATCCAGCAAGGAGCATGCGCAGATTCCAGTGCGTTCGGCAGAGTGACTTCACATAAAGTGAAGATACGTGTGTTCGGTGAAACGTTGACGCTGCCACTGTAATCCACGCAGATGTTCAGCATCGGTTGTAGGTAAATCCACGCAGCCGACACCTGAACGATAAAGCAGAAGGGGCTTAGCATTTTGCTGGAAGCGCCTAGTGCACTGCTGCCATGCACACTCAATGTTACTCTATGGCATCGACGCACCTGGCTTCCGACTATAGAGTGCTCGCGTTTTGCTAACGTAGCGTCACTGTGCCTAGCGTGTGCGCGCGTCAACGCTACATTGGAGTATATTGGGCTCTTCATGATGCGCTCGCGGCCGTTTCGCTAGCTCCATATATACCGAATTCAGTGTTACGTGACGTCAATGGATGACGATACATATGACTGGTGCAAACATGATAATCCTGACACGCGTGTCATGTAATAACATGACATCATACCACGCTCTTAGCGTGCTCGCTGCCAATCTACTAGCTCCACATATGCTAAATTAGGTATCCCGTGACGTGAATAGATGACGAAAGTAAACGACACATCCAAACATGATAATCATGACACGGAAGTTATGTACGCCATCATTTACCACCACCTCTTAACGTTGTGCTTACTTTAAAGTGAAATATCAACATTTCTTACTCCTGCTTCACATATTATCCATTCCCACTGTACGTGGGATCTGCCAAATTATTTCTCTATGTAGCCGCTGAGATAAGCGTCTACAGCGCAACAATACGCTGGCGGAGTCGATCTAGAAGGCAACGCAAAAAGAAGCACAGCTAGTTCCTCGCCTATATAGGATCCATCAGGGTAAGCCCCACAAACCTGAACAAGCTAGTTCACACCAAAACGCGAGTTCTTGCTTTCCGCGACCTCGGAGAACTCCCCTGCCGGCCCGCAGTTGTTGAGAAGAGAGATCAATCGACCGCTTATAATGAAATTACCTAGCGCTTTTATCTCGGCAGGAGAGACTTTCCTCTTCCAAAAAATAAGGTAAATCGAGCGCAGGCTTTGACTCTTGGGCTACTGCAGACGGGTTCGTATCTCAGCTCGGCTTTATTGCACAAAATTTATCCCGACATCTATCCTAATAGCTCCTGCAGGTACTGCACTGAATTCGCTAGCATAGACCACATGCTCTGGCGTTGCCCCTCGTTGCGGGGCTTGGACCAATCGAATGAAGAAAAGTGGTTATCCGCTAGGAAGAGCCCCGTTGTCGGGGATGACTGTGGGCTGTACAGAGGGCTCACGATGTGGTGGTCGGGCTTGCCTGACCTTCCAACGTGAGAGCGGTCGAGCTGCACATTGTGTCGTGCACCTCAGAACTTCAAATAAAGTTTCGCATCCATTCATCCACCCATCAGCTAGCAGAATGGCCTCAAACAATAAACGAGCTGATGATGATGATGATATGCTCATAACAATGACGTTCACCGACAAAGGTAATTTGGCCTAGAACTGGGTGGCAGGATGTTGAAAGTAATGAACTTTGAAACTAAACTCAATCTGAAATGTTTATATAGAGATAAAACTCGAAATAAATAAAAAATGCCTACTGAGCAAGCGGTCAGATCATCTCTGTTTTCTGATAGAAATAACAGTGTTGATTGAAAGAGCTCGTCGTTTATTTATGGGTGTCACGAAGATGGCACACACTTACTACAGAACAGTTTTATTTCAATACTTAGAGGGGCGGTGACACAAATTTCAAGGTTATTACAAACCTGTTGCGGGTTTTTTCTGTGTGCAAGGACTGTCCACACGAAAAGTGGGACACAACAAACGCGTAGAATATAATTTAATTCACTTTGAGTAATGTAGCTGAATGCTCACTTTCGCGCTTTAGGCAAATCACTAGCGCAGCAACGCTGACATTTCATATGGCTGTGTTTCAAATATTAGATGGCACTTAGAGTGTCTACGCCAATTGCTTAAAAAGCAGCACCAAGCCCATGCTGTCCGATAGTTGTAAAGTCTGGACGGTTTTTATGCGACGATGTGCCACCTCGCATCGAGAAGTGAAAGCCATAACAAACAAACGTAACAATTGTAATTTCTGGCATATCTCGTGTTAAAATAAAATAAAATAAACATTACTCACAATAAGCGTCTGGAGAAGCATTTTATTATGTGTAAATGACCATTCCAGTGAGATCCGATCTATCTTAGCGATCAGCTGAGCCGCTATCTAGGTAAGACGGCAAAGTAGCCTGCATCATATTTCTCTATAATTCGGTCTTCTCGGAGCTGGCTACGTGAGAATTGAAATGGGACTCAAGATGGCCGCTGTCCATTTAGCTGTATATTTAGCCGTATTCAGTGAGCATTGGAACACACCCAAAATAGGAGAAGCAACGGCAGTTGTCATGACGTCACACTAGATTTGTGGTGACGTGAGTGACCTTTGCAATCTCCGAAACGCATTCTGTGAACAAGGAGAGAACTAGCATGCCTACTGTCGTGAGTGTGCTGGCGTCTCTTGTAGAGACACTGTGTGCATCCTTCAAGGACTTTGGGTGCTTTCGAAAAGACACTCGACGCGTCGTACAGAGACGCTGCGTGCGTCCGACAGCGGGGCTGTCTCATCCTCCATCAGCATCTTGGCGCCGATATAAAGCCGGCGCATCGTGCGTTTGGCGGCTTCTCGTCCACCTTGTACATACGTTGTAAATATAGACGCTTTGATTCCTTCTTGCAGCCTTTTGCCTTGCCACTGCCTCGATGCAACTGCAGCTGGCCATGGCGACTGTCAGTAAGTTTGTTTTGCTGGCACTTGGTGTGGCACGTTGTGCGTGAAAGCCTTGTGTGCTCACGTGAACAAGCCACCTATGCATCGACGTCACTGCCTAAATCAGCATTGCAAAGCCGAAACTTATATTGGTCCACATAAGTAGAGCAATAATAAATGATTTCGCGAAAATACATGAACCTTGGTGTATGCATCATGCTTCCTGGAGCTGAAGTAAACACTTACAGCAAAGAACATGCATGCCACAAGTTTGGCGGCACCACTCCTTTAAAGTGCACAACTGAACCCCAAAAAAACCAGAAGATGACCAAATCTTACGAACTAGTGCCATTGCAGACACTTCATTGGAACACTCACGTTTCGTTAGGGTTTTATAGCTTTATTACAGGTAGATATATTTAACTGATATATTTTTGTCCATCTTTATTTTTCTTGCTTATATGCCTTGTTTACTGCACTCAACAAGTGAAAATATACTAATATTACGATGTGTATATGCCGGACTGAGAAGAGCGAATGGAAGTGTGAACTTTGGAAGATCGATCTCTTGGCAACTTTGTTGCGTGTGGCCTCGCCATCAAGACATCTGTTAAACAAACTCTTCTCAAAAAAGGGCGCCCCTTCCACCGCGGACACGAACTACAGTCTGCCACGAATGTGAGGGCACCCAGGGGACGACGCAAGCTATGTGTCCCAGCGACGCTGATGCGCGTTTCTTTCAGCGCACACACACACCTCTTGTGTTCCTGCAAGACGCGGACCGCGTTGTGAGGGCACGCCGATGAGAGTCTCTTACAGGCCGGATCTGTGCATTGGCAGTCAAAACAAGTCAAACTGCTCGTCCGACCCCGTGAAGGGTACAAAATATTGCTCCTTGTGCAGTGGAAGCAGCTTCAAAAGCTTATCGGAGAGTACTAGAAGCTCGTTCAAGCTAGAAAGTGGCACGATTGCAGTGGATGATACGGAGAACTAGCCGCCAACACAAACATCACAGCACTCACGCATTTGACGGCTCGCTTTCCTTGCCCTCATGATGCCGCTAGCTATCCCACGCTCCTTTGCGAAGAAAAACTGACGAAAAGCTTACCGTGAAGTGGCGTATTTATGAAAAGGGTCTATAAACCGCCGTACCCCTACTTCAAACGTAACACTAACATTTTGCCCACAAAGCCAGCGCTACTTTTCAGGCCCTTCGGGTTTGCGTAAAGTTAATCATGTCAGGTATTTTCATGCAGCGTTGAATTTCAAAGCACCTGATACGTAATTAGTCTCGTTGATAAAGTTCAGCCACACATGTTTCTCAGCCTTTGTTTACAACTAGTGTCTGGGCGGAATTTGGCTTTATCAAAATGAATACCTCACAAATATATCAGCACAAAAGATTTTCTCCTTTGGAATTTTCTTTAGGAATACGTGACCAGGAAACTTTGTCGGCCTATTCTCGAACGTACTTAGTGTTCACGCTTTTGTGTTTTTGAACACATCATTCATTTTACAGGACATACATGGTGCCATGAAAGGCCATCTCCGAAACAGACATCCGATTTGATATAAAATGTGGCCCAGCTTGAAAGGGTTCGGTCGCAGCTTCAGCGGCTTCATTTTCGATGGACTCAAAAGCGCTTGAGGCTCGTGTACTTAAAGTTGTGTTCACGTTAAAAAATCTCATGTGGTCAAACTTTTTATAACCTTGTACTACAGCGTCTCTGATAATCGTATTGTGATTTTGGGACGCAACCCAAATAAAATACTGAATTCAGTTTTCGAAGAATTATGACCTCACTATCAGCACGACTATTGCATGATTATTGCTATTGCGATAATGATGCTGTTCAATAGAAAAAATATTATTTTAACGAGACCACTTGTTTTATGTTTAGTGCATAGTGCCTTTATAAGCAATACTGGACGCATTTATCAGCAGCCGATTTTAATACTATTCGCTTATAGATGGTTCCATACCTTGAACAAGGCGTGAGTCGATCCTGAGCGAACGCATCCGTAGCGCACGGCTGACTGCTTCGCCAAGTCTTCGGCACTCTCGATGGGTGACAGCAGCCTCTCTTTAGTCAGAAAGGCTGCCAAGTTAGCCGTGTAAAAGGAAACCAGCACGAAGGAGAAAATCCACCAAGTTGCAGCGATGATGCGCGCTGAAGCTGCCCTGCACAATATGCCATGTTATGTAAAATTATCTTGAACAACGAAGTGTACCCAAGCAGGCAGCAGGGTGAAATTTCGTCGAGACATTGCCTTTCTATAGGGAGTGTGCTACCCTATATGTTTGTAACATGGTATGTAGATGCATGATGTCTGATTTCCAACAGAAATAGGTAATAACAAAGGAAGCTATGCAAAACGAGCCAAATGTAACTAATGTGAACATTACAAACTATTCTTAAAGTTGCGGTAAGAAATAAACTTGTGAAAAATAGGCAACCAGCAGTGGAGATATGAACGAGAAATTGTTACTCTTTATACACCAAAAATACCAATTAGGTACTTTTTTGTAATTTTTGCTAAAAATATGCACCAGGTCACAACAAACTACTGCAAGACATCACAATTTTAAAAGTGTGCTATCTTCTTTTTGATTAATTATTTATGTTAGATTCACACTATCGTCAAGTAGTACTTTGTTGCTGTCCATCATGGAGCAGCGTCGTCTTGTCGATATTACTTCGAACACGAGGCATTCATCATTTCAACCGAGATGGCTAACGTCTGAGGTGTGTCACAAGATTGAGCCAGTTCTTACAAGCGGGGCTGGAGGACGTATTGCCTGCAGTTTCGAGCGAGAACAATTCACTAAGGCTATTAGCCACATATCTCCTCACTCTGTTCGCCCGAGTTTCAATCTCTTCGTCACTTAACATTATATTTTTCGGCTTAAGTTTACTCTAATGTAATAAAGGTTGTCAAGACATATAACTTCGTGATGAATTATTCTGGAAAGCTTTACGCGCTTTAGAAGAATTCATGGTATTTTGTTATTAGGCGTATTTCTATCCCACGCAACAGAATGAAGCAACCTCATAAGCGCTAACTTTTGTCTTTTGAACAACCCCTTTGATTAGCATAAGGTCGAAAACCCGACATTTGTTTACTTGAAGTTTTCTATTTATTATGCAAAAACAAAAGAAGTAGAGAACGAGATTTGAATTATCTTGTTTTAAATAAAGTCTATTCAATGAAGCTATTGATGAAAGTAAAAACAATTTTCAACTTACCTAGGAAATATATCGCATCCCTGCCTCATGACGGCGCTAAATGTGAACCAAAAACTGTTAAGAAGAGCGAAGTCATTTGGCACCGTTGGCAGAGTACCATTTTTCTGGCTGTCAGAATATAACGTCTCTCGCTGGAGGCCGAGTGATTTGACTGCTTCCTGACCCTTGATGATGTCGAGCCTCGCACGGCCACTGTCCGTTTCACTGTACCAATCTACATCACTGCGCGCTAAACTGTTTCCGCAGTAGCAGCATACATAACATCGCGAAACGGCACTTTTTCCGCGACACACTGCGCTCTGAGCACGAGAAACGCAGCACAGAACCACGCTCACAGCGACGCACGCCCCAGCGACACAAAGCCACACATCCCCCGAAAGCGGAGACAGGAAGAAGAGCAGGGAACGCTTCTGGTCGGTCTTCTTGTAGAGTGTGCTGACCCCCAACGTCATGAAAGGCATAGTGAAGTCGACAGATCGCTCGCGCTCTGAGGTGATTGTCAGGTCACCAATCGCTAGGTCGGCCTCCTGCAGCGAAGACGTAGGAATAGTCGAACAGTTAAGCCGGTTAAAATAAAGAGCATTCGCTAGAGATGAGGTGGGTTACAAGTACGCTTGAATACTGAAAACGTGTGATGCTACAATTGACTTCAAGAAATTTTCAGATAATTTTGGTGGTTGACAAATTCAAATAAAAGCTGTAAAGTGAATGGTGCGGAATATTTGCGAAGGAAGAGTAGCCAGTATTTATTTACCCTCAGATAATTCTGGTTCAAGTGTCTCCATATGTTCAGTAAGCTTCACTAAACAATCTAAATCAAGCCACCTGAGGCTTACAAGCCTTACTTTTAATCTATGAGATGGTGTCATTTTACTTATTACCCACTTGTCCTCAGTAATGTCATCCCTAATCATAGGGTCAAAGAGAACAAAGCTTTAGAACACGGCATTCTGTTCACAATGAATAGAACATGACAGCACACGTCTCAATCTATTCCTACGAAATGAAAGTGGTTAGGACTTCAGTGTATATAGTTCAAAAACGATAAATGAACTCCTAATAGTGATATCAACTATTAAGAATTGCGGCTGCTTGACCCTTAGCCCGAGTTAGACATCTAGGTACGGTCATTTTCATTATGCTGGCGTGTAAATGCGGTGAACAAAGAGCGAGGGCGAACACGTATGACGTATGCTACATTAGCTATACTGAGCTTTTACGCATATGACACAAGCGGGTGAAAGCTGTCTATGTATGTGAACCAAATCTACGGTATGGCGATGGTTTTTTTTTGTTTTTTTACAGAGAAGCACGATAGTGTAAGCTGCAGGTTGCTATTGTGTTATACGTTTTTGTTGGTATTAGGAGCGGCAGAAGCTAGACGACAGTTTTATGTTTAAAATACCATTTATTATGAAGACAACAAACCTTTTAAAGCACAAGATAGTTCATAATGGCTGTATCTTATGAACCGATACGCAATCAAACTTCTTGAAATACTGCGTGGGCTGCTTAAGAAGCACGCGAAGTGTTATAGTCACAATCTGCACAAGCAAGTGCGACAGTTGTCCTAAAAAGCTGGCTACCGTTACACCCATTTGTTGGAGTACGCATTGAATTTCCTCAATCGAAACTTACCATGTCCACAAGTTCGCGCATTACGCCGTTCCACCTGCCCTGTGAGTCCCGGGTTCCGTAGGCGCCATCTCTGACGAGCTTGAGCCGGTAGCGGAAGCCCAGCGTTGCGGATATTTCATGGAGCAAATCTACGCAGTAACCCTCGAAGCGGTCGTTTCCCTCAAGCCTGTGCGCGGATTTCTTGAGCATGACGTACGGTGCATTCTGCAGTAAGCATCGTGTAAGACATACGCAAGATCTTCACTCTGAAGTTTATTGGGCGATATCGCCTGCTTGTTTTCTGCTTCAAGAGGCTCTTAGCTTGTGTCTATGCATTTTACGTTACCGTGCCACCGGAATACAGAAACGCATGTTTTTGCAAAGCTTTAACTTCCCATGTGTAAGCTTTTATGCACGTTAGTAAACGTATACCTTCTTGTTTGTACAAACCACTAAATGGTGACGAAAACTGCATCGCCTCACCTTGTCACAGCTGCAGATTTTGTAATGCCCCCGGCCCAAGAACGCATCCTTACCATTAGGTCGAGCGATACCATTGACTGGGACGCGGTGGTTGTCCCTGATCATCACTGCATTCTCCGAGGAATCGCCATCGCCTGTTCTTTAGTGCGGTTTTCGCATGGTCATGCCAGTTTCACCGCCTACAACACGGCAATAGAGCCGCAAATACTGCGAGAGGAGTCCACTGTGGCCAGCCTTATTGACATAGCACCGGTATATGTCGTCACTGTCTCGTCTCTGTCGTCAGTCGCCAAGTGTACGCCACCAGAAGCGTCATCTCATGTGCTTGAAGCTACCTTGAGCCCATATCTCCCCTCAACAAAAACTAATGACTTATTGGCCCTTTTATCAAAACAGCGGACTTGTTTTGACGATAGTTCTGCTGGTTGGGATGACACTACGGCGCCTTCTCATCGCATCGCCACAGACGGGTCTCGTATCATTCGCCATCGCCCCTACCGTGGGTCGTATTCAGAACGCGAGGTTATCGAGGAGCTCTCCGCGGTGGTGTAGTGGCTAAGGTACTCTGCTTCTGACCCGCAGGTCACGAGATCGAATCCTGGCTGTGGCGGCTGCCTTTCCGATGGAGGCGGAAATGTTGTAGGCGCATGTGCTCCAATTTAGGTGCACGTAAAAGAACACCAGGTGGTCAAAATTTTCGGAGCCCTCCACTATCGCATCTCTCACATAATCCTATGGTGATTTTGGGACGTCAAACCACAAATATCAATCAACGTTATCGAGGAGCAAGTCAATGACATGCTCGCACGCAACGTTATCAGGCCATCATCAAGCCCTGAGTCTTGTGTTGTCCTAGTTAGGAAAAAGGATGGATCAGTGCGAGTTTGCGTAGATTACAGGGCACTAAACAAGATCACCCGGAAGGATGTATATCCCTTGCCTCGGATTTACGATGCCCTAAACATCTTACAGGGTGCAGAATACTTTTCAAGCCTCGACCTAAGATCTGGCTATTGGCGGATCCTGATGCATGAGTCTGATAAAGAGACTACAGCGTTTGCTATACTCCTGATGGCCTCTTTGAATTTAATGTGATGCCTTTTAAGCTCTGCAATGCCCTAGTCACACTTGAGCGAATGATCGACATGGTGCTTCGGGGCCTAAAATGGAAGACCTGTCTTTGTTACCTGGACTACATCGTCATCTATTCATCGATGTTCTCGTAACTTTTACAACGTCTATACGAGGTGCTCACATGTCTAGCCAAAGGCGGTCTCCAGCTAAATACCAAAAAATGCAGGTTTACCAGCGAGCCGCAGCCTCAAAGTGTTAGGCCATGTTGTTAGCAAGCTTGACGTCGAACCAGAATTCGACAAGGAGGCCGCTGTGTTGCACTTTCTTAAGCCCACCACGCATATGACCAGTCTTAGTCCTATCGATTTCACTGCACCGGATGACCTCCTTCAGTCCGTAGACCTCACCTCGCTCCAACGTGCACACACATACTGCCGTACAATCATCGATCGGCTCACCGGCTTGTCCCGTGCTCCCAACAGCCGCTTACGACGACAACTCCCGCGTTTCAAACTTCATGATGGGGCACTACTTCGTTAAATTTACCATCCTTTCAGTAGCTCATGGGTCCGTGTCTTTCCTCGCTCACTTCGACTCCAAGTTTTAGAAGCCTGTTATGACGACCCGACGGCAGGCCACTTGGGTTTTTATAAAACCTATGGTCACATAAAGACTAGCTGCATCAAGCCTGGCCTCTCCACTAGTGTTTCAAAGTACGTCACTTTCTGTTCATCATGTCAGCACCGAAAACGTTCGAAATCTTTTCCCGCTGGCCCTCTACAACCTCACCAGTGCCCACCCGCTCCCTTCGAGTTCGTCGGTATAGACTTATACGGACCCCTTACGCTTACCCCCGCTGGTCACTGTTGGATTGTTACTGCCGTATACCATCTTACTCGCTACGCTGAGACGGCAGCTCTTCCTTCTGGCGCTGCCTCCGAAGTGGCCGACGTTGTTCTGCGTGCCATTATCTCGCGCCACGGCGCCCCTCGTGTTCTCCTGAGTGACCGTGTCAGAACATTTCTTTCTAATGTGCTCGTTGAAGTCCTACAGGCCTCTGACACCATCCGTAAGACCACCTCCTCATATCACCCGCAAACAAATGGTCTCGCTGAGCGTTTTCATAAAACTTTGTCAGACATGACCTCTATGTATATCCAACCCGACCAAAAGAACTGGAACACAAAAATACCTTTGCCACGTTCGACTTATGAAGGAAAAGTGCGCCGAAAACACGACCTGATCTTCGAAGAATATTTCTGGCGTAACAATACCTTCAGGTTTTCATTTTTCCCTCGCGTAATAGGAGAGTAGAATGCGCTTGATTCAGTTACTGTAGCACAGCCAACACTTCAAAAATTTTTAGAAAGAGTTGGAAATCTCATGTCAGTGCTCCCAAGTTCTATGTGCTAACCTAATTGCATACGGGTGAAAGCATCCACAATCTAACAATGTATTTTATTTTCTTCATCATTTGGTTGTAGGCAATGTATTGCTATTACTGTATGATGTATGCATTAGTTATTACCATGATTGCGACGCTTGCACGTCATAATGTGATTACTCTTGTTTTCTTTTCTTATGTACTCTTCTAGTATTACCACTGCATTGCCTTGCTTGTAAAAAGTTTGTATCTTTTCCACTCCTGTATTAACCCTCAAAGAGGTTTGACAGTATTTTGTAAATAAATAAAAAAATAAATACCACTGCCATTCTACGCACTACAAGTTACAGCCCGTCTTTCCTTGTGTAAGGCCGTGCACCATCTTTTGTCCTAGACAGCAGATTCTTGGCCACGCCCTGTGTTTCATTCGCGTTCCTTCCGGAACAGTTCGCTGCCCATGTCAACCACTGCCATACAATCGATCGTCGGCGCAAACACCTAGTATTCGGGCCCAGCGAAAAGTTCATTTTGATGCGACACGTCAAGTTGACACGCCTAGATGATGTCAAGTTGACACGTCAAGTTGTGTCATTCTACCCAGGCGACGAAATGCTCCTCTGGACACCTGTTCGCACTCTCGGCCTCTGTGAAAAATTCGTTCACAGATAATTGGGTCCTTACACTGTGCTTGAATGAACATCAGCCATGAATTATCACGTCGTTCTGGTTACTTCGGCTTCTGATCACCGTCGTCACGAGACAGAGATCGTTCATGTGTTTTGCCTGAAGCCTTACATCCGACGCTCGTACCCTTACTAAATGGGCGTTTTGCTGACCGCTTTCGTGTAGGGGGGAAATAGTGTGAGTGCTGACTGTGTAGTTTGTCACCTGTGCATATAAACCACCGTGATCATCATCATCGTAGTCTCTCGCCTTGTGTTTGGTTGCTGGCTCACGCATCTGTGTTGAAAATACAACGGTCGCTCCTTGGTATACCTGACGCCGTCTCACGTTATATTTGATTTGGTTAAATTGGAATCTTAACTGAGGCAAAATAATAGATATTTTTATTGTTTTAGCATATACTGTTGTATAAAAACACTGGATTACGGGATGATGGTGTTGACACATCGTGATGACCTGGGCACGTTTAGTAGCGCCTAGTATTTATTTATTTATTTATTTATTTATTGTATGCCTGCATCGCCCTATTAGACATTACAGCAGGGGGGTTACATCCAAAAACATACAAAGTAAACACACTCCAAAAGCGTGCTAAATACATCGTTGTCCAAAATGTTTTGAAGTAAATATTAGTAAAAAATAAACTGTTCCGTCATTGTCCCACTACAAAGCATTTAATCAAGAAATGGAATGCATTACATTTCTGCAAGAACAATTTTGTGCTCTCCTGGTTTTGTTAGACCACCTTAGATGGAGCCACTTACACAGCATATCAGGGGGCTTCAGGTCTCTCACGTTTACGTTTGCGGCACGTCAGGTCCTCCAGATTTAGTAAGGTGGGTGAAACAAGCTGATAACAATTCGCACTCGAATTTGTGGCTTGAGTCTCCACAAGGCCTAAACCGTGCTTGGACTCGCTCCTTAGATTCCGTGCCAACCAGCTGTGCCCCCGTGATCTCCGACGACAGCGCAGCTATGGCCGACCGCCTGCCCTCCGCCAACTCCTGACGCCGTGAAGCTCTCGCTAAGTGGTGCCCTGTCCTCGGACTCCTGCGACTGTGTCCATCTTTTCTATCTTCTTACTTCTGTATGTGGGTCTCTCTGTATCTGCCCCTATCTCTATCCATATGCATTCTAATTACTCCTCACCGCCATCCCTCGCGAGTCACTGTTGAGGTGTTGCACTATGATGCAGACAGTTATGGGGCTTATTTTTAGCTTTTTTTCTCTCTTTTAAGAATCAGTAACAAACCATGCTTAGCCACAAACGAAGGGTAATTAGAGAGATAGGGCCAGAAACGTAAAACCTTTCGGGAGAGTAGTATATGGTCCGTAAAAGTTCCGCGTCCGGTAGAGGCTCGTGAATGCGCAGATTAATTCTGTTATCTGATAACCCGTTAAAGAAGTATACGTACAAACTAAAAGCCCTTCATAACTCTATTCAAACCATGTTTCCTTTGATAACACGCAGGCACCATTGCGGATAAATAACAGTAAACGTATTTAGCGTGTACGGTATCCCAGGCTACGCATAGGGACATTGGAACATCGTGTTACTGTTTGGTGGTGCCGCAATTTTGCGACACTTGTGGGACCATAGTCATGAACACGTTTTTTTTTACTTGAACACGAACACTCATTCTTAACTACGCTGCTGCAACGCGTTTCTACAAGAACAATTTGGTGCTTGCCTGCTTCCTTTCTTCCCTGCTATAGGTGGCACCACCAATCCGACCTTTAAGGGGCTTTATGCCACTCGCGTTTACGGCTCACATTTTCTAGATCACACAAATTAATAATAATTCTTGGAGTTTAACGGTAATAATTATCATTAACGCCGTAGTGGAGGGCTGCGGTAACTTCGACCTCACAGGTTTTCTTAACGTGCACGTAAATCTAAGCACACCCACCTCAACCATTTTCACCTGTATCGAAAATGCGACCGCCACTGCCATGATTCGATCTCATGGCCGGCGGGTCAGTAGCCAAGTGCCTTAGTCATAAGGCCATCAATGTAAATAGTTCACTCATATTCGGTAATTTAGATCAAACAGCGTGTTCGTAAATGGCGCTCAGACATCGGCTTCGATTGATTCGGTGGCTTGAGTCTGCGGATAGTGGATATAGGAAGTAGCCATGAACGAAGGCGAATTCGGGTTATATGTATGGTAGTGGACGTGAAACATACCTGGCAAGTAGTTTGTGTTCCTTGACAGCAGGTATAATTTTCATAAACACGTGCACAAGCGCTGATTCAATGCGGTATCCAGTAACACGTTGACGTAAAAAAATATACGTATACGCTAAGAGCCCCTATTACTGTTTAGCATACTCCGTAATTTCGTCTTCAAATAATCTAGCATGTGACCGTTAACGATCATGCAGAGCAAAATATAGAGGGCCGCAAACCAGATGTTTGATATGCAATGATCTTACCATTTTTCCCCTTATTTATCTCTTTCACTCTCTATCAACCTATTTCCGCTTTTCATGTAATACGTTTTGCTGGCTTTTGACAGTATCTAACATGCATACAGATACACATTTTGTCCAATCGGCTGAAATCTCTCATTTCCTACTCTTGTTTTGGTGATATTATTTCCACAGATTATCACACTTGCATCTTTCAGCTCATATACCCTTCCACATCCAACAAGACAAAAGTATATGTATAATGCTGTGATCCCATGAAATGCAGCTTTACCAGTCCGACCACCTACTAAACACAAAACTTTGTCGGGCGCCGCAACTTCCACCATGTTCTAAGAGTGAACAACGGTCTCACCAATATCGTCGTTATCCTCAAAGTCTTGTTCTTCAATACGCTGAGTATTTCGTCTTCAAACAACTTTTCTGCTCGAGTAATGTTTAGCCCCGATGACGTACTCCATGTTCCAACCTGAGAATAAACATGCAAATATGAATAGTAGGAATATTAGGCAAGAAATTACATTCCAAAAATACAATTTCGTGCAGTCTTTCTAGAGCCGCACTTTAAGTTAAAGTAAGTTTGTTCACACGATACGAAAACGTAAAAGAAGATACTTCGAGCACGCTTAACTTTCAGCTCCTGAAGTAGGAAGGAATGCCGCATATTGTCATTCAGTTCGTCATGATCAAGCATGCCGTAGGCAAGGAGTGTTTATGCATGTGACATTGGCCATTATAGCTATTATAGCATGCAATATAACTATTATAACATGCCTACTGCAAGAGCAGTTGCGAAATGCCCACTGCGGCATACATACTCGATTCGAAAATTGGCGAAGTACCCGCCCGCAAGGTGTCACGCGCATCAGCGAAGCAACCCACTTTATAATGAGCGGGCAGCTGACTCTGCGCATTCGCACGTTTTGACGCTTGGTGCAATGGTAATATTGTGCAACGTAATACTTCTTCCGTCTAGATGGCCCCTAAGTAGATGATATTATTACGTTTTTCTTAAGCAGCCTGAAGGGCGGCAGTGACTCTCTGGTAGAACACCGACTAGCCGCAAGAGCCACAAGTTCGACATTCACTTAGACCAAAATTTTTAAAATATTTTCATACTCATGTATGTCAAATTTCATCTCTAGACCACTTCACTGTCTACCAAGGATGCCAATGCCAACACCGATACCAAAATTTTAGCTAAGCCAATCCTTTATTGCTATCACATTATATTACTTTTACTGTGAGAAATGTCGGCGAGCTAAAAAATTATCACGCGTTAACGAAGGAAAACAAGTATGGTGTGCTACAGTTGCTCAGCAAAAAAATATATTACTTAACTGAGCAAATAACATTCGTTATCTACGAAATTCATTGATTGATATCTGGGGTTTAACGTCCCAAAACCACTATATGATTATGAGAGACGCCGTAGTGGAGGGCTCCGGAAATTTAGACCACCTGGGGTTCTTTAACGTGCACCCAAATGTGAGTACACGGGCCTACAACATTTCCGCCTCCATCGGAAATGCAGCCGCCGCAGCCGGAATTCGAACCCGCACCCTGCGGATCTACGAAATTCAACCACCACGTTAAAATCAGTCTTATATGTAGTGCATGACAACGCAATATCATACTTACTTCAAGGCAACGAATTATTCGTTCATTCACCATTCATGCTGAAAATATACTCAACAGGGTTCATAATGAGGAATAGTAAAGAAGGGGCGTAAACTTAACCAAGGCGCCAGGAAAATCTGCTGATAACAGTGAAATAAAGTGTTCTCCAGGTCACTAATAAGAGTTCGGACGTAGGTTGTGCAGTCTTTGTTGTCACATGTTACATATATCTCACACCCTATCCTACGATCAACCACAGTAGCGTCTAAGAGGCGGCACTATGCCTGGTAGGTGACAAGTGAACAGGTGTTTACTGATGTAAGCTCGTGCTGAACCTGTTCCATGGCTTACAATTTAAGTCCTCGAGAGACACGTATAAAATTGTTACCCTACAAAACAGAAGTGCACCCATCTAAAAGTGCCCGCCTTTCACCTAGACGTGCCCGCCTTTCATCTAATCAACAATGGATGTCCGTGAAACGCTTCACGCTCCCTTACGCCCTACATGCTCAGTTCCTTGATTTCCGCTCACAAACTGCTTCAGTCAAGATTCGTACATTCCAATCGCAGATTTGTGAGATAACCGGCTTGGATCTGCGCGCTCGCTTTGCTGTCTGGGCCAGCGCTCGTGTCTGCTATTCGAATTCGACATCACTTACCGAAGTCAGTCCCGTACGCTTGAGTTTTGCCACGTACAGGGACACGTTTCTCCGTTGGCCCAAAGCATCCAGCCACAGTGGTCCACTCAAGCCCGAGAAACGTATCTGCCAGAAACAAGATTTAGTGAAAAGAAATTTCAAACAACTTTCAACCAGTTGCTCACTGTGAGAAAGAGCCAGCGGGTAACGTGTGAGAGGAGAGGCAAGAAAGTCGCAATCCTGTCCGCTTTGGACACCAGTGAGGACCATCAATAAAGTTATATTCACCTTGTCTAAAATGGTCAACATTTATCTGAGCTTAGCAACTTTGAATGCAAAACAATAATTAAGGTTGTGCTTTGCTTGGGCTGACAGCAGCTGGCCATTGTTTACCAAAACGTTTTACACTCACAATGTCCTCCAACAAAAGTTTTCACAAATAACTCTTTCATGCGTGTCTCTTTTCGAAGCCGGCCGGCTAGTGGCAAAACGCACTTAGTTAAGGCCGCTTTTTTAATAAAGTCAAAGCTTAAAATATGCCAATGGGCTACTTCCTTTAGTAAACAATGTGATATTGCAAAGACAAAACATACAGAAATGTTTCTCAATGAGTGCCTCTCTTTCTTTGTTCTTCGCCGATAGATAAATTTCCGAAACATCTTTTCATAAGTAATGCTTAATGCAAGAGTACTTACAAAACTTGTGCTCATCTGTATGGTGTTGAAAAACACCTCTATTGGACAAGATGACTTGCGTGCTTGAACGACGTCGTCGTCGTGACAACCGAGTCGCCTCATCGACGTCTTCCGGATTTTTTTATGTGGGATAACGTAAACTGATCATTTCGCCTAATTACCTTCATATCTGCATAAAATATTTGGGTCCCTGAAAATATCGTCGATATTCTTCTAAATGCAAACAAAAAACGGCCCTCCCGCGAATAGTAAGTATGAGCACGTATTCTAGACGTACCTTGAACAAACGCGAAAAGCATCATGCATTGTTGCCGAAATAACAGCAAGACTTTGTTCGAGAAAGCAATCTTCCCAACTTCCGCATACATACATAGCGCCGGTAATTGGCTGTGTTCGTTCGCGACTCGTATGCAGCTACGAGGTCCTCAATAGTCAGTTTCTGCTGAATATATTTCCATCACCTGTGGCTCTGTTTATTCAGCCTTTTCAACGCTTTCGCAGTGAAGAGTCTGGTAAGGTGCCTTATCAAAACCAAACCATGATCAGGTATTATCCAGAACAGCCCTTCAGGCAGTGACTTCTCTGGTGCCCAATTGTTAGACTAAGTATAGTGGACCATGTGTATTCTTAGTGTTCTTATTGTAAAAAGCTTGCCTAGCGCGCTTACAGCCTCATATACTTTTCCTGTTCGTTATTACTAAAAGCGGAACATAACTTTACAAACGTTGGTAGCTGCTCCCGTTATTTGTCGTTCTAGTATATTTACTTTCGCTTCCATAATGCAGCTGCTAGCTGCTTTTGTAAATAAACCTAATTATATTTAGTGGCCTGTACAGTGAAACGCTGTGACGGCACTTTTATTTCTCTGACAGAGAAAAGCTCCGGTGTCAGATACAAAAAAAAGGGCTGATCCCATAAACAGAGGAAATCAGTCATATGAGAATTACGATTGGGAAATGTTGATATGTCACTTCAAAATGAGCACAACGTTACAAGGTGGAGGTAAATGATGCCGTGCATGACTTCCGTGTCATGATTATCATGTTTGTATGAGTCGTTTGCCTCCGTCAGCAATTCATGTCACTTGTTACCAAGTTTAGTATAAGGAGAGCTAGCGAAATGACCGCGAGCAAACTATGAGCGTGGTTTGTTGTCGTGTTTTTACATGACACGCGTGTCCGGATAATATTGTTTGCACCAGTCATATATTTCGTCATTCATTGACGTCACGCAACACCAAATTTGGTATATATGGAGCTAACAAAACGGCTGCGAGCGCGTCATGAAGAGCCCAATATACTCTAATGTAGCGTTGACGCGCGCGCACGCTGGGCAGAGTGACGCTAAGGTGGCAAAACGCGAGCACTCTATAATCTGACGCCAGGCACGACCAGCGTCCATCGGCGCGGCCCGACGGCAACCGGCGCTGCATTTTGCGCAGATGCGTTACCCCGACAACACTGCGTCTCCCTCTTTTCGTTATGGAGGGGCGCAGGACGCCCTCAAACGCGCATGCATCAAAGCAACGCAGCGCAGTGCGCGCCTGCGAGTATATTGCAGTTCCAGCGCCTGGTGTGGCAAAGCCGGCGTGACGCGACGAAATGAACGCCGGCGAGCACGCGCACCGCTTCATGTCGAAATGTATTGGCGCCTTGACTGTGGCATGTAGTCATGTTCTCACATGACACGCATCTCATGGTTTTCATTTTTGCACCAGTCATATATCTTCGTCATCCATTGGCGATACGTAATACCAAATTTGGCATATGTGAAGCTAGCGAAACGGCTGCGAGCGCATCATCAATGTGGCATGTGATCATGTTGTTACGTGACACGCATCTCCTGTTTGTCATGTTTACACCAGCATCATACCTTTGTCATCCCTTCACGCCTCGTACTACCTAATTCGGTATAGGTGACGCTAGCGAAACGGCCGCGAGCGCATCATGAGCGTGGCATGTAGTCATGTTGTTACATGACACGCATCTCATGATTTTCATGTTCGTGCCTGTCGCGTGTGTTCGCCAAGAAATCATGCCATACCATACCATTTTTGCGACCTGCCATGTGAACGAAACCACCGCGAGAGCTGTAGGACCATGAAATGTAAAACATGACATTCATGACGTATATTACACAATTTTCATGTTATGACAAGTAAAATTTGTTCTTCATAAAGTCATGGTATGCCATACCAAGTTTGGTATCTATACCAATATTGAAACGGCCAGGAGAGCTAGAAGTCGTAGGCGGCCAGATAGATAGATAGATAGATAGATAGATAGATAGATAGATAGATAGATAGATAGATAGATAGATAGATAGATAGATAGATAGATAGATAGATAAATAGATAGATAGATAGATAGATAGATAGATAGATAGATAGATAGATAGATAGATAGATAGATAGATAGATAGATAGATAGATAGATAGGTACGTAGGTAGGTAGGTAGGTAGGTAGGTAGGTAGGTAGATAGATAGATAGATAGATAGATAGATAGATAGATAGATAGATAGATAGATAGATAGATAGATAGATAGATAGATAGATAGACAGATTGATAGGCAGACAGACAGACAGACAGACAGACAGACAGACAGACAGACAGACAGATAGATAGATAGATAGATAGATAGATAGATAGATAGATAGATAGATAGATAGATAGATAGATAGATAAGATAGATAGATAGATAGATAGATAGATAGATAGATAGATAGATAGATAGATAGATAGATAGATAGATAGATAGATAGATAGATAGATAGATAGATAGATAGATAGATAGATACGCTCAATATCGTCGAAGTTCGCTAAGAAATGCTTCGCATTTAAAAAGTCGCGCACACATGCTGTGCACACCCAAGAAGTGACCGGCAAGGAATCGAGACGTTGTAGGAGCCGGCAACTATCACTAAAATGAGGGAGCGATATTTTTTCGCAAGCCGCATGATCGACATCTCTGTCTCCTGAAAATGTGTGTTCAGCCGAGAAGTTGTCATGAACCACAAACTCGCGCAGTCGCTCCAACCCTGGTAGCTCAAAAGTAGAAGTGACATCACCACCTGCGCAACATTCAAAAAGTCCCGGGCGAACTCCCCAAACCGACTTTGATCACCTGCTGTGAGTGAGGACTGAATGCTTTTTTTATTTGCGCTGCCCACATCTATCCCTTGCACTTCCTGTTGCCTGTGTTGTTGCAACGCCTGCTTCCCCGCCTTACGTCACTATGCGTCAGTTGTTTCTGATGCGCGCAAGCTATCTAGTATCCCATATGTTACTCTCATTTATGATTAAATTCTCATGCACCAATAAGTGGGTTCTCTGCTATGCTTGCTATGCCCTGTTATAGTACTTCCATCATGCGTCTTACGTTGCATGTGGCATGTGCTATTCCTGGTGTTACGGTCATTGCTTACTGTGTCTGTTAAATCTGTGTGCGTGGGTGAATCGCGGCGTAAGTTCCTAAAGTATCATTAGGCTGATTTATCTATTAGCACTTCACACAGAAGATGCCGTGGCTTCCTCTGAGTCATTGTTTAGATGGCAAAAAACATTTGCTCTTTTTCCATCATAAGCCCAGCCACATAAGCCCAGGAACCTTTGCATTACCGCACCACGATACGAATGAGCACGTTCTCTACATATGAGCACGGCCACTAAGTAGGCCTATTACTAATAAACATGGCCACATCTATACAGGAATGAATTGGTGCAAAAGCTAGAGAAAAAAAGGTTCCATATGTCACAGCTACTACATGTACGGCACCCTTAACAGAGATTTCTGCCGAGCATTTCTAGTCTTCTTCAAAACTGCACTGTTACAACAAATGTAGTTGATATACAAGAGCATCAGTATAGATGAAAGAACAGCATAAATAAACTCCCTCCCCCCCTTTATGAGCATCCATAAGGCGTGTGTAGAAATAACACAGGTGCTAAGCCCAGCGATAGCCTCACATTTAAGATAGAAAAAATTTACCATTGACTATTGAAAAGAAATGAGAAAAAAGACTGCCTGCTTTCGTTATTTCGTGACTACTGCATCTTACAAGGCGAAAACGAGAAAAATGCTTGCTTTTCGTAACAAGCATTACTTGGAGAAAGTAACGGAGAATGAGGCCTGCCGTAAGTAATCTTGTTACATGCAATGATTGAAGGTACCGTAAAAAGTGTGGGTGACGAGAGGACGACTTAGCGAGGTTTAATGTGCAAAGGTGTGTATGTTGGTACTGCTCATAGTGTAGAACACCGCGAACGAAAAAGTACCATTCCTAGTCTTTCACGCTGTGTTAGGTGACTCAATGGTTTCAGTTGCAGCAACAACATAGAATGCCATGCCAGCACTCAGAAGTACACCTTGCTTTAAAATTGGTATAAAAAGTCTCACGAGAGATAATCAAGGTCCCTGTATACGAACGAGCACTATATACGTACTTTGATGATTTACGCTCAGTAGGTTGGCATTGTATATCTCACGTGCAGTCTGCACCATATCCTGTAATACTTCCTAACAAGGTTTGTTACCAAATGTATATTATCAGTTTCGCTGCTCATACTTTATGCAAGCCCCTCATTTCTGAAGATCTAGACTTCACTGTCAGAATCACTAAATCTTAGTTATCTTCAGTTTTTTTTTTGAAACCACGAAACTAAAGATCTTTGTTTACCTTTCAAACAATGTTCGGTGCCGGACATTTTCTATTGGTTTCACTAATAGCCCCTAAATTGTAAAGAAATAGGCCTTGTTACCACAACCACAAAATTTGGTAAGCTTTGGTTTCTTCGAACCACGAAATAAAACATCTCTACCTTCAATTTCTTGTCTCTCTCTCTTACACCCACAGCGCTCTAATATGACGGAACTTCGAACATGTCCACATCCGGCAAGTTTACCACTGTGGAAAAGAAAATTACACATCAAGGACACCTTCTTCAGAGCTTGAGCTGTAACGTCTATTTGACATATTTTATTCACGAGAATTGGTGGTTCTTGCGTGATATACACAAAATATGGCCGTGGTCTTAAGAGTTTATTCTTCCAACAGCGTCAAACCATATGATGGAGCATGGGCAAATTGTTTCCTCCTATTAGCACCTAAATAAGGAACAGATGTTTTTCAACAAACCTTGAAATATATCATCGGGACTTAAAATAATCTTATCTACAATTATAGCTAGTGAAATAACGGGCCTACACAGTGCGTTTTCAAAGAAGCCAGGTTAGTCTTACTACTAGTAAGATCACTATGTAAAAATTTAGTTTGTGTAACCATACATGTCATCTGGCCGATGATCTGGTGTTGCTACTATATATGGTACGAAGCGAGAAAAATTGCCATTAGAACTGGACAGATTCGTGATGTGAATACTTCTGAAAATAAAAAAAAAACTTCGTGGCGTACGCCGCACAGCATGGCTTGGAGTTAAAACCCGAGACAATGTTTTATTATTCAATGAATACACACGATACTTAACAGATAGGAGCAATCTTACTGCTGTATTGTACGCAGGTTTATAAGAAGAGCCATTTCGCCTGCGCATTCCACTCTTGTTAGCTCTATATTGCAAAAATGACAAGGCACATTTCAATGCTACCTTGGCCATATTGGAAATTTGACGGAATTTATTGAGAAGGTTTGATGATGCAACTTCACGACGCGTTGTTACGTTCAAAATCACTATTAGACTTCATATTCAAAACAAACATCTTTTTGTTCGTGTTGCACCCACGGTGACCATCGTAATGAAATGATGCCTTGAATCTCTCAGGACCCCAATAAAAAGTTTTTCATCCACATAACAAGTGTCGCAACTAATTGTATTGAAGAATTTTAAAATATTGAACTTACCTTTCTCACTGCCTCTTTAAGCATGCTCGACTGAGTCAGGTTCCTTTCCGCAGAGCTTTTACGGCAGCTAAATCGTGGTGGTGCCTCCAATGCACGTGCCTTGGCTAGGCTCTGGATGGCACGCACCAAAACGATCAGAGCATCTTGAGTGAGAGCCGCGTCTGTCTGGACGAAAACACCAAGACTTTTTCCGATAGTTCACTTGCAACGCTGTGCGTAACGCTGATTCAAAGTGCTCATTTAGAAGTTTCTTACACGCTTGACTTCGCCAACCATGTTTCGAAATTTATAGGAAATTTATTACTGTAAATTTTTATATTGAGATAATTTGATAACAAAATTAGTATTACAATGTATTGCAGTCGTCTATTGCCATTTGATTCGGTGGAAGGATGAAAAGAATTCGCCGCACATCGGCAACAATATAAAAAGCCAGGTAATTATTCATGATAACGACCAATTTCTTCGTCAGGAGGGAACTATAAGGAATGATCCAATTGCGACTGAGACCTACACGCAGAGTATATACCGCGTGTTTCTTATGCTCAATACTTTGCATATTGCAATGTTCCCCATCCTCTTTCCAATATGAGGGGTAGCATACCAGTTGCTCTAAACTGGTTAACCTGCGTGCCTTTCATTCTTAATTACTCGGTTCGCCTTCACTGAGAGCGGATAAAAGCATCCTTTTGACACAGGTATCTCATGAGCCCGAGTACACTTGCTGAAACAAGATGACGTGAAGCTGCTTGGCTGAAAGCAGACTGCCTGAAAGGGATTGTGATTCAATCTAAAAAGCAGTGCCGATGGCTGTACATCAATACATTGAAAATGCGCTGAGTCTTCCGTCCTGCGTGTTTCTCTTCTCAGCGTTCTCGTCCCCGTTTTGGTGCTTTGTCACCCCGACTTTCAAGCAACTATGGCACTTTTGCCTTTTACACCACATACCTATTGTAATTTTGCAAAATATTGTATTGTTAAGTCCGTTGGCAGAGGATCTTACGTAGGAGTGCACAGGTCAGTTTTGATATTGAAGAAAGTGCACAAGACAAGATACAGGCTGACTTGCAAGTGGGCACCTTTCCTCTCCCTTGAACATTTTTCCGAACCACTTCCGCACTACGGCACACAAGATGTTATTTTAACGCCATGGTAGAGAGATCGTTCCGCAGAGTTTCTGGTGTTAGCGTCATTGGTAGTGAGCGAAAAATCATCATCTTACGCGTTACTCAAAAATAAAGAATGATGCAAATAAAGTAAGTAAATGCCATAAAATCCTGAAAAAGTGTAAGGAACGCACCAGGGTTCTTTGGGCCCGAGTGGATATTGAACCTGGGTCGTTTGCGTGGCAAGCGGATGTTGTACTACATGACCAATCCTCTGCTTGTGAAAACAGAGACAAGAACTTCGTCTGCTTGCAAATTCTATGAAAGTAGCTTTCATGCTTCCCAAACACATGCGTCCTGTATACATTCTTCGAAATGCAAGATGAAATATATCAGCAATAATGCTTGGTACAAGCGTCCATTGCCGGAGGGCGTCAGAATATGTGACTATCATAATAGCTCTATGGTTGAAAGTCGGTACTCCTCTACAAAAGGCCCTCATGGCACTGCACCTATTCTTTTAGGGCCACGTTTAGTGGGAGCATAACACATTCGAAAGGTTTCATGCACTAAATGTCTGAAATGCGCACTAGGAACAAGCTGTCGCTATGGCGTTCAATTTCTGAAGGAGAAGCTTTATTATCCCCAAATTTTCGGTTATTCTTAAGCAAGTATTAAAAAAAACATTATCCTCTTTGTTTCTCTAGGTAGTTGAACTAGGACATTGGATGCGCGAAGAGTATTATAAAACTACGGAGCTATTTGTGTCATGGTAAACGTGGTAGAAGCTGCCCATATGAGTTTTCAGTGCGTGGCTTTTCACGATTAGTACACTGTTTTGAGAACTCGGGTTCTCTACAGCATTAAATTACAGCGTCACTATTGTGCTCTGTTAAACTTGCGTAATGAATGCAAATGAATTATTTTCCTAAACGAGCTTTGCATAATCTAGGACACGCAAATTTTACTTCTCCTTTATGACACAATTTTTGACTAAGATTCACTGCATCGCTTAGCAAAGTCTTCCGAAAGAGTGCAGTTTTTTCGGCACCAACATCTACTTCGATGTGCAAAGTGATATCTATTGTTACGGTAGTAGCGAACACCACGTTTCTACTAACGAAGACACAGTGTCCTCGATATAAGAGACGGTGGTTGATGCTTCCAATATAAATGAGTAATTTAAATGATGATGCTATGGCTGATAATTATATAAATTTTACAATATACCTACTTGCGACGAATTGTGGTTTGAGTAGGGCATCGTCTTTTCAGTGACTGTCATAAATGTTCAACACATAAATTGAACCCTTACTAAAGTACCTACCTAATTCAAGCCGCTCGACTGATGCGCTATTATTTTTTGAATACCCTAACAAGATATAGAGGGTATTGAAGACATGTAAAACTATGCGAAAAAAATGTTTATTTCCAATATTTTCAAGCCTGCTTGCAAAGCAGCTTGAATCCTCTAACTGTGATGACCAAGTCTGCAAACAGTGGTGATAATAATAAACTGCTTTAAGAACTCACCCTTATTTGCTTCCAGGAGACCCGATGAGTCAAGAAGAGTGGGTATAAGCCAGTTTTTGTGTAATTCTCGCGTACAGCTCCAATGTCTTGTTCCCAGACCTCTCTCTTCAGAAGCATGAAGCCAGTCAAATTCGTCCCAGAGTTCTGTAAGGCTGTTAGGTCGACACTGTGGAGGTCCTGCGCCATTCAGATATCTGGTTTAAATAACAATACTACGGAACATAGGTTCCTAAAAGATTGCAACAATTTTGTGAAATTTGCACTTTTATAAATTTTATCTTTTGACTTGAGTTTACTGTTACATCTTATTGCCATTTGAGGCTCGATACTCGCCAAGTTCAGAACATTTTAATCCTATATCATTGACAATGGGCGACAATTTATTTCTAATATATTTTTCCTGAAATCTCTAATATAACCATCGGGCAGTGATCACTGTCACACTGTGTCGTGTTATGTAATAGGAATGCTCATTCTGACCTTCTAGTTCGAAATGCAGTAATCTACAAGAAATTCCACATGTCATGCAAAACCAAGCGAGAACCTTTGGTTGAATATATCTGTATCATGACAACACAGTATCATAAAGTAATAATCTAAAAGGGCATTTGGTGATCCAAACTTGCAAACAGGCAAGCTAAATGGGCCGAAAATTACATCTCTAGGGATAAAAAGTGAGACGCACCCACGGGGAGGTCGGTTTTTGCGAACCCGCATCTTTGTTGTTGTTTTTTTTATTTATCGTAGGAACACTCTACAGCCTTTAGGTATTAGTGCGAGTGTACACTAAAATGTCTCTTCGACAGAACTCACTATTTTGATGTGCGGCATTTCTTCAGTAATGTTTGTTGACACATACTGTAAAGAACATTTACTTCACACATCACGTGGGAAAGGTGCGTTCTTTGAGACCAGGCCTGGGTGATGGATGAGCAAGGCCACAGCGTTCACTTTTGTAATCGAGAATTTCATTGCCCTGTTGTATTATTTTTTGTAAGCAGAACATCCTAACAAGCACGACAGATAAGACAACATTGTCAATACAAAAAATTCTTTCATGACGCTTACCAGAGTGGTGACGATGAAGTTGTGATACTCATTCACGATTCCAACTCTTTGTGCCTGCAAAAAGATTTTCACATTACGTGAGACGCGGTTTGTGTTTCATGGAATAAAAGCATTTTGAAAGAACACAAGAGTATGTATCAGCACATCTGAAATTTCCGACAAAGCAATTGCTGAAAACTGCTTGCGCGAATACGTCAAGTCAAAACTGCTAAAATGCCGATAGGATTAAGTGACAAAGAGTTCTGATTCTATTCTCTATTTTGAACACCCAATACACATCAAACAACCCAACGTAATTGAGTACGTACCAATTTACTTTGAGCTTAATTTAGGGTGATATACGTACAAAGGTCAGTGTTCAAAGATTTGCTTACTTTTCTCGTGTGGACAGTAGTTTAAATATAGTGACTGAAAAAGTAGTTCACCAGATTACAGTGAGGCTGAAGTATTAAATTCAAGGACCCGACGACACAGAAAACGACAGTAAAGAAAACGTAAGCAGACGCGTACACTGTACTGATATCAAAACATAAATGTTCTCGTACATGTCTCAACAAATCGCCCAGCTTGTGAGTCGCCACGTCGAGCACGATGTTGCTTTCGCCGTTCTTGGCGATCTCCCGCAGAACAATCCCAGGGTTCATCTTCTCCGGAAGTAACCGAAGCGACACCGGAATTGGGAGACTGCCAGGCTGAGTCAAGTGTAAGAGGCCATGCAGCTGCACCAACGCTGCGAATTCGATAAAGGAGATAAAAAAATGGTGATCACATCAGCGATTGCGCGAGCCTTTGATAAATGCCACAAAAAAATGAACAAGCCGCATTTCAAGAAAGATAGTGCAACAGTGAATTCAAAAGTTGCACTTTCGGCACATCCAGGTGGTATTATTACAGAGCTCCAAAAAAGCTGATTTAAGGTTTTGAAATATTTGCGGCGTGCTGGAAGCAATAGACTGAGCGAAAAATCGATGAACACTGCTTGAATACAAAATGATACCCACGACATAGCTAAAAATACGTGGCCTGGGTGCATTATTTTTCGTTTCATCACTAAATCGCACCAGGTCATGTGATGCGCTGATAAGGTGAACATTGTGAAGTGTGAAATAGTGTTGCGAGTGTTAGGGCAAAGAGCATGGGTAAACAGGATTCCGGCTGACTGTATTTTTCGATAGGTGTCCACAAAATCAATGCTGCTGGTTCATGCGCAATTAATGATAAAAATATTGCTTGTTGGGGTTCAACGTGCCGAAACCACCATGTGGTTATGAAAGACGTCGTAGTGGAGGGCTCCGGAAATTTTGACCGCCTGGGATTTTTTTAACGTTTAGCGTTTTTAACGGGGTTTTTAAAATTACTCTAGTGGATGTCACCGTTCCACACAAATATGAATTATTATGTGGGTAATGATCATTGCTAATGCTTTATAAGTATTCCAGTTTGAATGGAGAAGGAATAAAGTTTAATATAAGAAAGAAGCAGGCTTAGGTGGCTGGGCCTAGGCCTCCTACAAAATTCTTTTTCCAGTATGATTCTTTTTTTATATAGGAATGAAAGCCACCAACAGCCTTAAAGCCAGAAGTGATAACGCACAGCAAAGCTACAAACAAAATAACCAATTTATTTCAATACACATAGAGGCACAATATTTAAAACAAACATACTGAAAATGTTCGTTCGTGATATGTTTTCTCTCTTTTTTTCTGGTAGGGAGTTGATGGGAATAGCCTTGTTTAAGTATTTCGCTGTAGAGTTCAGGCTGGTTTTTCAAAAGCGTTCTCCACGTGTTTGTAAGAAATACAAAACGACTTTTCTTTTTTTGAGAAGACAAATAATATCATATCACCGAGAACTACCGCGGAGGAGCGCTAAACATTTATTGAGCAAAAACGTTATGAAGTGGCTAAATTCTTGAAAACAAAAAACAAACACATTTATTCGCTAATCTCGACTGAAGTTCATAAAGTGCTGAAAACAATTATGACAATTTGGCTCCCGCACGGGCTCACTAAGTTGCGCATAGAACTTCAAGCCAGGCCACAAAAATTTTCCGGAGGTGCGCATTTTCCAAAGCTTGCGTGCAAGCACTATTTTTGTCTTGGCTCTGCTATTGCATAGCAGAGCCTGAACAACAGCGTGTCCTACAATATCATGCGAGAAATATAGTGCGTTGTGAGTTTCCTTTTGATATTTCTCTTTATCCTTATATCCCGCGGCTGCTCTCCTCCGTTAGCGAAAGCGCACTTAATTCCTGATAGCCTAAGGTGAGCTCACGCACACGAGTACAAGAGCAGAGAGTTATGAAACGAAAAACGCTGTTAGCGTTTGTATAATGCCCAATGTCTGTCCACGTTTCCACGCATACTTGCTGTAATGAAAAATTTTGAACAAACAGGTCAACTTTCTGCTTTAATCAAGCTCAGCTCTAATACAGCCGTGTGTCTGCCGTCTCGCATGATAAATGAAGGTGGACCAATTCTCTTTCTAGTGGATTTGTGACAGAGCAACGCTTGCAATAACCACTTACAACATCGCTTGGGGCTTAAACGTTACATATACAGTAAATTCACCAAACGCACAATTCTCATATGAATGGAAAAACCTTATTTTTTTCAGAAAGCTACTGAGGATGATTGCGTGTTAGATGGCCATCAACCCAAGGTTGGCGGCGACCTGTGTGGCCCACTCCACGACCCTTAACTAGACGACTGGGTCTGAGCTGGTCAACACGGCCTCCCCGTGCTCAAGAGAGGGATCACGCATAATATCCACCAGTGGCTGCACTATGCTACATTCCCAAATTATGTGATCATATGTTGCCACAGCCTGACACCATTTGCATTGCAGCTTAATCTCCTCCGGGTACATTTTGTTCAACAGGTAAGGGTTGGGAAAAGATCACGTCTGCAGTTTTCTCCAGAGGCATTCCTGCGCCTTAGTCAACCGCTTGTACGGGGGTGGATAAAACCTCCGCTCTGGTTTATAATGATTCGTTATGTCATGAAAGAACACCAGCCCATCTCTCGCTGACCTCCCCGGAACTGGCGGTTCACCTATCCGGCTGACGAAACCTCGAGCATTCAGCTGAGCCGCCTCGTTCCCAGGTTTCCCAGAGTGTGCTGGTACCCAGACAATTTCTATTTCTCTCATTTCTCGTCCCGTGGCCCCATGCAGAAATCGTGTGGCGGTCGCCGATATTCTGCCCCTCACCAGATTTTGGATGGCTGTTTTTGAATCACTCAAAATCAAATCCGACTGCGAATTAGTTATAGCTAGCGCTATTGCCGCTTTGTACTCGCCGTACTCAATGTGTAAAGCTCTGGTTCTTGCCTGCCTGCGCTGCATATGGTGAATCGAATGGATATTTTTGGGCAAAGGTTTTATGTACATGGCCTTATGTAACTCTCGCCGCACCTGAATTTTAGTGTCCCCAGTGGAAGCCTCTACTCCAATGCCAATTCTTTCCAATATGATCCTGCTCGCTTTGGTTGTCGAAAGCCTAGCATGCTGCATCACCAGATGCGCCTCCCATAATTCATCCAGGGTGTTGTGTACCTTTAGTTTTAAGAGCCTTTCTGTAGGCGCGTTGTTAGGCAACCCAAGCGCTGCCTTGTAAGCTCGCCAGATCATAGCCTCGACCTTACCTTTTTCTGCGGCATCCAACTTCATATAAGGTGCCGCGTAAGTAATCCTGCTGAGCACAAACGCCTGTACCAGCTTACAGAGTTCTTTTTCTTTAACCCCGCTCTTACGGTTAGCGATTCTTCTGATTAGCCTGACAGTAGCATTGACCGTGGTCTTAAGTTTTTCAAGGGCCACCCTATTCTTCCTGTTAGTTTGCAGATATAGGCCAAGAATTCTAATCGTTTGAGCTTCAGCTACCAGCCTACCCCCTACCTTTACCCCTAACGGCGGTGGCGGAATATAGTGTTTTGCATGTAGCCCTCTGGGTTTGTCCCGAACCACAAAGAGCTCGCACTTGGGCTGAGAGCATGAAAGTCCCGCCTCCCCTGCCAACTCTTCGACAATATTAACTGCCTGTTGCAGTGTTTCTTTAATATTAACTGCCTGTTGCAGTGTTTCTTCCAGATGCGCGTCACTACCCCTGGTTACCCATAGAGTAATATCATCTTAATAAAATGTGTGTTTTAGTCCCGGTATCTCCTCCAGCCTCAGCGGTATTTTAATTAAGGCGATGTTAAACAGGAACGGTGACAAAGCTGAACCCTGCGGCGTCCCTTTGCCTCACAACGCGAATGAGTCCGATTTGATATCTCCTATTGAAATTTCTGTGGTTCGGCCCTCCAAGAATGATCGGATGTAGCGAAATGTCCTGACCCCTGAGCCAATTTCCGATAGGTTATTCAATATTGCCTCATGCGAAACATTGTCGAAAGCTTTATTCAGGTCAAGCCCCAATACAGCTTTGGTGCCCGTGCCATGCCCGGGATCAACTACATCATGTTTTAACTGTATCATGACGTCCTGCGTTGACCAATTGGCCCTGAAACCTATCATAGTTGGGGGAAAGATGGCCTTGTCCTCTGCATAATTCTGAAGCCTGTTGAGAACCACGTGCTCCATCAATTTGCCCACGCATGATGTCAGCGATATGGGGCGCAGGCTTTCCAAGTAGAGTTTCTTGCCTGGCTTCGGAATAAATATAATCATAGCATGATTCTATTGTGCTGGGATTTCCCCGGCCACCCAATACTCATTTATCAAGTCAGTGATCGCCCCGACCGATTTGAAATCTAGGTTTCTCAGCATTTTATTAGTAACTCCATCCGGACCTGCGGCAGACGTAGTACGCAGCTGCCTCATGGCAAACTCTACCTCCGCAATTGTGAACTCTTCATCTAGGTCTGAGTTTTCCACCCCCGAGTAGTGTGGTAAGCAACCGTCTACTCCATCAGTTATGTACCGATTCCGGAGTTCCTGTATAAACTCTCTAATTGTGCTTTCATATTGATGCATTAACCGAGTCATTTGTCCCCGTTGCGCCGATTTTGTTGCTGCCGTATCCAAAAGATGCCTTAACAGCTGCCATGTCTTTTTGCATCCAAACTGTCCATTCTTGCGATCACAAATCTGGCACCACTGCTTGGCTTGCAACTCAATTGTATAATTTTCGATTTTATGTTCTAACTTGGCAGTCTTTCTGCGAAGGACGCCATTATTTGTTTGCTTCTTCCACTATCTCAAGAGACTCGCGTGCGCTTCCAACATGTGTAATAGTCTCGAGTCAGCGGTAAACTCCTCCTGCTCGACTGGCACTTCTACCGTGGTATTATTTACATCCTCCTTGGGTGCCAGTACCCATGCATCCAGGTCATTAGTTTTCCCGTTTACAATATCTGCTCTGTTTTTCTTAATCTGTCCCAATCTGTAATTCTATGCTCCCTCACGTTGTCTTTATGTTCGCAGCGCTAAACGTCGTGGAAACGATATAGTGATCACTTCCTAGGGCTTGTCCCGTGTTAATCCACTTTGCATTACTGATGCCTCTAAAAAACGTAAGGTCTGGGGAGGTATCCATGCTTATGCTGTTGCCTATCCTCGTATGATCTTGTGGATTGTTTAACAGCGTCCATCGCAGATCCCGGGCAACTTGCCAAAGCCGATTGCCCTTTGGGCTGGCTCGAATATAACCCCACTCCGGGTCAGGCGCATTGAAATCTCCTACCACTATAAGCGGAGCGCGAGTTGCTAACCGTTGAGTTTGAATCA